TATGGCTTATTTATATATGATAAAAAAAAAGGCCCATTAGATCATTTTGTGTTCTTGACTATTTACTTCAGTCTAATATTTTATTACAATAGTAATAATTAAGATATTTAAAATAATTTGCCCCTCTCATAAAAACTAATGTGTAATCTTATGTTTATTTTTATTTGAAACGTAAGGATTTCTAATTTTAAAATTCTTAGATGTCTTTATACATTGTTAATATTAGTAAAATGATACACAAATTCTACAACAATCTATCTCTTTTGTTTAACAAAGTAGACAATTGTAGTGATTTGTTCTGATCATGGCTCTCCACTACCAGTATCTAAGGTAATTATTAACTGTATTAGCCAACTCTTTTTTTTTTTTTTGGATAATTACACTGAATCAGTTTTAAATTTAAAAGATCCACTAATTCAATTAAAATGTCAAAAATTCAAAAGCTTTATAGTGATTATTCAATGTAAAGGTGATTACATGAGTTAAGTCAAACGTATGAAAAACATTCTCTTTACCAAATTTTTTTTTTCAAATCTACCTAAAAATGATTCTTAAATTCAACAACAATCATTTTTAATTGATTGTTCTCTATAAGCATTGAATTAAATTTATATTAATCTACCATAGATATCGCCATGAATAATATCTATCCTAATTTGTAGATATTACTATTTAAAAAATAAATTAGTGTGAATACTAAGTTAACCATTATACTGTATAGAAGGTGTCGAGTGTACCTCTTCATAAAGTAGGTAACTATAATTCATAATATGTTAAATTTGAATTCAATGATAAATTATTGAATACGAAAAATAATTCTAATCGCAGATGATCTGTCAGCCTGTATTACTAAGTAAATTCTACTACATATTTAAATTAACATTATAGTAAAAAAATTTTCTATTATTAATGTGGTAAGTTTATTTAATTTTTTCCGAGAATACCACAATTGCATTATTCATTTACATTCGAATAACTCGTGCATTATTTTTATTAAATTTTGAGTGAATTTCAATTAACCGTGGAATGGTGTTAAATAGGTGAATTAATAAGTTCGTGGTTTAAATGGACTAGCTTAAATTGCTTATAATAAAATATAACAATGTACATACAAGCATTTATTATAGAACATATTCTATAATCAATAGTTCAAGTGTGAATTTTCCACAAATATTTTTAAATTACAATAAAGTAACTAAAATCGTTATTTTTTGTTAAAATATCAAATTCCGTGAAAATTTGAATCTAAAATGTCAAAAAAAAAATTAAGTCTGTATTTTAGGTAATGAATGGAGCAGTCTTATTTGAAAAGGAGTACCTTTAACTATTTTATAGTATTATACAATTAAAGTGGTACTTCGCAAAAGGCCCATCACTGTGATGTTGCCAAATTGCCTATCTAAACTGCCGTTAGATATTTATTGTTAAAATCAAAAATTAATATTTAATTTAAAAATACTGATTATGAGATGTCGGAAATATATTATACTCAATGAGATGGCCCTTATAACGATATTAAATAAAGAAAAAGTTTTGAATGCACGTAGTAAGTGTACTATACTAAGTCGATTATTACGGAATTATTTATTTTATTAATTTATGTAAAAAAAGTAATTATATATATAAATATTGGTAAGTATAACCCGTCCAACCATCTTGGGACTTGGCAACCGTTTTGGTTTTTTAAAACAAATTATTGTTTCATTCAATAAATAAAGTGATTATAATAATGCATGATTATTTTAATATACATTAAATTTTATTAGTATTGTCATGTATTATTGTTCTTAAAGTTTCTTTATCTTAAAATAATATTATCTTATTTTGTCCTACTCATTTTACCATAACTCGTTGCATTTGTTCAACTATTTTTTTTGTTATATCATATTCTGTCGCCATAAGTAAGTATTAGGAACATAAGTCGGTTCTTCTTATACTAGGTGTATAGTGTATATGGCTTCATTAGGTGTCTTATTTTCCAGTTTATTCATTTATTGGTCACTATACGTCTATTACCATTTATAACAAAACACAAAGGACTATATTATAATTTATAACTTTGTTTATTTATGTTATAAATTCTTGTTTCAATTCTTGAATTATGTTTTATTAATAATTATAGATAATATTTGTTAGATATACCTAATATGATATTTTTTGAAAATTTTATTGTAAAATTATAAAATAAGAACTCGAATTGTCTTTATACTTAATAGTTATACAATTTAAAATGAAATATTTTGTTCTATACCTCAATATTCAAACGTATTATCAATTATATCAATGAAATAAAAAATAATAATTGAATCAATATTGAAAAAATTCTATATAAATAATAATATTTTCTTTCCCTTTTAATGAACACAATTTTTACAATTTAGCTATAATTAATAAGCGTAAGTGATATTAATAGAATTACAATTTTTTTTTAATTATTTGACAAATTCACAAACAATTACAAGTCAAAGATAGTAATTTAATTTTTCGATTTTCGATTTTCGCCGTATACCCAACGTAAAATATAATTTTACGGATAATACATTAGAAAATAATGGGTAGTTATAAACATGGTATAAGGGTTTAAGTTATCTTTTTCTAGCGTAATGACTAGATAGAAAAGTTCTTTTAGGTTGAATATACATGTTATAGTAGTGTGTATACCCATAAATATGTTTACCAACACACCACTGATTATATGCATTAATATATACAATACATAGCTCTATTCTCAAAATCTAAAACAGTGTTATGGATTTAAAACAAAATTGACAAACTTGTTTTTTGGAATTGGGAGAAGTAAAAACTAAAAGTATTGTTTAGCTTCCTCGAATAATATTCCAGGGGGGCAATTGCTTCCCCGGACGCTATTCATTTAAGTGAATAACCCAAAATTTACCTAGGTATATAACATATATTAATTGAACAAGAACGCAATTTATCGTTTGAATAAATTTATAAATTAATAAATAATATAGTTAGTAAAAATAAATGTGTATATTAGTTGTGTAGGAAGTAACATGCCTATACAAAGACTTTTATAATATTAACATTATTAACTACATATTTTTAATTATACCAGTTTGAGTTAACTAAAAGTCCTAAGTCTTTACAAATGAGAACGAAAACGTATTAACCTATCATGTAAATTTCACCTAACGATAAATGTATGTATAAGCTTGTCTAAATGATGTTAGACATATTAAAGGACCGTGCAAATGTCGCACAAATAAATAACAATACCCATGTTATTTTAGGCCATTCACCCAAATGAAAGTCGCTTACACAGTTACACACTAATATCATTAAAATTCCACCTATGTAAGCAGGTATTTAAATTTATTGTTATTTCGCCAGTTCTCAATTTAAAAAACTACATATCTCCAACACAAGTAACAGTTATATAGATTATAGATGCGTAAAAAATTAAAGTGTTGTTACTTTTGAGTTATATTATGTAAATTCTAATAATATTTTATGAAATTAAATCATACTTGTACATAAAAAATAAATTAAAACCATTAATATATATTATATTAATTATAGTAATCTTCACGATGATATTCATTTTAAAACAAATAACAGTTAGTAATTTATTGGTATAGGAATAGAACATAGGTAAACTGCTTACCTATATTTCAATAGACAATAAGAATAGAAAGGTCAACTGGATATTAATAGATGTAACAAATTTTAACATTGCTTAGCAACGGGTGTGATTCTCACAGTTTAATAAAATATAAAACTAATAAAAGTATATTTAAATAATAATTTGTTAAGCGAATTTAATTCTGTACATAGTTAATAACATATTTGTTTGATGGTGATTGAATAATTTTATCTATTTAGATAAATCTAATTAAATGCACAACTACAATAAGTTCATGAAAAATGTGATGGTTATGAATTATTTAAGTCACCTATATGGCTATAGCCTATAAGAATAACAAATAGCTTAAGAAGTTAAGCCTATATATCTAAATATTAAATATTTATTAATATTTATTATATTATAAAATACGCACATATTGCCCTATTAATATTTTTTATAATATTATTTAATACGAGTACAATGGTACCAAATTTAAAAAATGTTCATTAGATCGATAATTATTGTCATCCAGAAATATAGATACGTATGTTATCTAAAATAAAATATGTTTGTATATTTTTTTATAAAATAAGCTAAAGATATTTTTATAAGCAACTATGGATATTATTTTTTTTAATTAGTGATGTATTTGTGAGTGGTACCTATACGGCTAAATAGGCATTTATAGTAATTTCGTTGTATAAATTATAGCTTAATAACTTATTATTAGGATTTAAGGGCACATCTGTGCAAGTGATTTTTTACTTTAAACCATTCTATTGTACGTGGAATTATCTATTACAATTTTCAACTTAAATAATTATAAAATTAATTGCTTGTGCATTTTTAAGAAATTTCAAAATATAAGTATTAAATAAAAATAGGGAGTCAATAATTTAAAATGTAGATATTTTAACTATGGAATGTTAGTACCCATTCGTCAATATTATAGTTAATTCAATTTCACCTGGCGACTAGTGAACTAAATTATTAGGAAAATGTTATATTTTTAAATTTTTTTAAAGTAGTTTTTATAGTTTAATTAAATTTCCATCTAAAATTGTTTCTATAGTTTTTTTATTGATATTTGATAGACATTATTAGTTTAAATCACGACTAATGGACCTATAATAGGCCATACAGACATATGGAAGGTATACCATATTTCGGTGCATATAGACTATTTATTATTATTTTTTATTTTCTACTTTTATTCAAGTTTATTATGCATATATTGTATACCCGTGATCTAGCTAGCACAGTTGCACATTATTATAATTATTTTATCTATAACTAAAACGGCGCGTCGGCCGCAGCGCACGCGCATCATAGATTACGGTTCCCACCCCCACCATAAACACTTACACACACACACACACACAACAATCGGAAATAACTAAATACTAAATAGTACATAGTACATACCTGCATTCCATTTTGTTTACATTCCATTCCGTCGCCCCGCACTATACGTACGTATAGGCAGAATATCGTCAATTCTGTGTACGTGATCGTTTTTTATCGTTTCCAATTCCGTCCGTTCGTTTTTAATCGCCGTTATTTTATACTCTTTTTTTTTTTTTTTATGTCGTTTGTGATCATTGTTTATAGATACTAAAGATACTTACATATAGCTCCCAGTACACGGACGAATCAAAATCGCGTCTGCATGTTTAATTTAACGGCAACCACCATAGTGGTCATCGCAGCTCCAGCCAGCCAACCGTCCCTAGAGGTAAATAAAAACCATATTTTTCTATTTTGATATATATGATTATTTTACAGTAATGATAGTAACGATACTTGTATATCGGTCGTAATCACAGGGTTCGCAAACCGGGTCGGTCCACAGTGCCTCCGACCCCTTCCGTATACGACTTGATTCCCTGTTTAGGAAATATGTATTAATCTTCCAACTCATCTTCGTTGTCATGTACCACCTTTCTGATCCTAGCATGATTTCTTTTATCTGTTTCTCTTTCCTGTCTCTAGATCCTAGACTATCACTTTCATTGTCCTGCGTCATGTGCTGTGACTTGCCCATAACTACTCGCCAATGTATCATATGGACACTCAAATAAAATGACTTCATCTTTGAAATTTTTGTCAGCTACCTAACAAGCCAATATGAAGTGCCTACTGAAGGATATATACCCATTTGGCTATTTCATTTTATTGTCATACAAAATTACAAACATTAATCACACATAAAATGCCAGACCACATTAAAAACCATCTCATATAATATGCTAACACATCTGATTGAATTCTATGTGGTAGTATATATTCGGTTGTTATGAAAAAAAGTAAAACAAGAGCTTGTATGTTAACTAAAGTCAGAGGAACTATTAGTAAAAGCATATAAAAAGTAAAAGAAAAATATATGAAAAGTTGCTATAAATTTTCTAGTGCTTCACATTTTTTTTTTTTGCCATAGTAGAAAATACATTGTGCGACTATTCTGTTAGTATGATAGCTATGAACATTGCTGTAAAAATGTTAAGACATTAAATGAAAAAATTTCTTTATGGTATAATTGCAAAAAATAATTTAAAATCACATCAGATTTTATTGATATTAATATTCTAAAGTCATATTAGTTATCGCTAAAAAAATAATTTTATTAAAAACTTGTTTATTTTTAAATTAATACATTTTTGTCAAACAATGTATAAAATGTTTATAGTTTACATAATATTATATTTATATAAAAATAAGTTAGTACACATTAATTATACAATAAATAAACAGTTAAAGTTTTTACTATGAAAGTGTTTAAGTATATCCAAATAATATTAATTAAGATTATATTTTACAGAAATATTAATTATAAAATATATATATATTCGTCTTTAGTATTGATTTAAAATATCAGATATTGTATTTTATAATATTTTAGTTTAAAATTATACTCATATTTATGACTGTAGAATTGATACACTTATCAAGTATAGATACTAACATAAAGTAATTAGGTAGGTACATATGATTTGTTTCATTATGAGTATAATGGCTATAGTTATTATAAAGTATTCTTATGTAAAGATAACTCCATTGTCACTTATTATCTCCAATGCATCCTATTGCACTTTTATGGTATTAAAATTTCCTGGTTTATCATTACTTTACTATAAGTAAAGAATTCCATATGAAGTACATAATTCAACATAAGATACTTATTATTTCAGAAAACATAAAATAATTTTTTGTTATTATTATCATATTTTAAGTTTATTATCTCCTTATAAATAATAACATACATTTTAAATTTTATATACCATATAATTATATAAAATGATATACACATAAACTACTGGACTAAAATTTAATTTTTTATATTTTTCAGTACTTGAAAAATATTTTGTTTTTGATAGATAAATGATGATTATGAAAAAAAATGATTATTATAAATATATTACAAAATATAATTGTTTTTTTTTTTTTTTTTTTTGAAAAATATTGTTTTTAATGACTACTTAGTTGTATAAAAATATGAATTTCAAAAATGTTAACAGTTTAAAAGTAATAGGTACATTATATTTTTATTTTAAAATGTTTATAAAAAAATATATCATTTTTTATGTTAATTAAATAAAAATATGTTATATTGTTGTTTAGTAATGTTCTCAAAGAAAAAGAAAAAACCTCAAATATCTTCACCGACAAATTTTGAACACAGAGTGCATACTGGCTTTGATAAACGTGAAGGTAAATTTATAGGTTTGCCTTTACAATGGGCAAGCATTGTTGGTAACAATCAAATACTTAAGAGCACCAATAGACCATTACCTCTTGTGGATCCATCAGAAATTACTCCTACAGAAATATTAGATTTAAAAGTAAGTATATTACAATTGTACATTTACCACTTAGAGAAATTTATTGATGTTTCTGTTTTTTTTTTTTTTTTTTTTTTTTTTTAATGTGTTTGTAACAAAAGTACATCAATTTTTAATATTAAGGTTAGTAAATATTAAGTAGAAAATTGTAGTTAGTTTGAGATGATTAAGTGAGGAAGAATCAAAAATAAAAAGTCCTAATTCCTTGAAAAATTATCTGAAAACACTAAAATAAAATATGAAAGGAATATATTATAACTAGATTGATTTTCATTTTTTTTTTTTTTTTAATTCTAAAAATAATAATTTTAAAGATTTGTAATTTTTTGTAATTACACAATTAAATTTTAAAAATATTCGTACTATCTTGAGATATATCAATCTAAGTTAATAACCAATAATAAGTGTATTATTGCTATATCTTAGATAAAAAATTGGTGTAATTTACCATATTTCATAAATGAATTGTAAAATATTAGAAATAACATCTATGATAAAAATTAAAATATTTTCTGAAACACCTTCATTCATTAAGTTAAACACATTTATTATAGTTACTTACTCAATAATAAATTGTACCTAAAATCTACGAAAAAAAAAACTTTGGTTTACATGTACTAAAATAATTTTAATAATATTTCATTCGAAATTCTAAGTTTATTTTTTTTTGTATTGTATACAAGAAAATATATAATTGGTAAAACATTTTATTGTATTTATTTTAGACTATTGTGCGTGGAGAAAATAATTTAAAAATCAATAATAACCCCGTTAACATTCGAAATAATGAACCAGCTGGACTTCCAAAAACATCTAATGTTGCACGTTCAAACTCATTACGTTCCTCAAGTCCACCACGTATTCGAAGGCAACATCCAAATGTACCACCACCGTTGCCAGAAAATGAAGTGTTAGTAATGAACCAGAGTTTGGTACCACAACATTTACCACAATATCCAACACCTAATAATACTCAAACAAAACTTGATTACAGCAATAAATTTGTAAGTTATAAATCAAGTTTTTTTGATTATTTTATTTCATTGTGGTTTTTGTTATTTTGTTATACAGATAAAACCAGGAGGTTCAGAATGGCCCTCTCAAGAAACGCCGGTATCACGAATAAATCAGAACAATACTCCTACAGGTCAAACAATTATACCAGATCAAGGGGGATCTCATTCATATCATTCCATGCAAAATGGAAATATCCCCCCAATATTTTCTAATGGCTCAGCAGTTGACTCTCCATCTGGAAGTCAAACATCTCAAGCCAATACTCCCGTGCCACCAAATCGTACCCATCCTGTTATTAACAATGCCCAGATTGTTAGTACAAACAAGGTAAGTCTAAAAACTTTTTCTAAATCTAGAATTTTAACTAATGAAATTTCAATTCAAGGGTATTGCTCAAAGTCATACTCGAAATCAAGATCAGAACCAAAATATTAAATCAACCACAAATGGTATATCAACAGCTAGTACAATGTCAATTCCTAGTATAGCTACAAAACAACACCATGAGCAACAACGCATTACACATGAACAAGTATTTAATATATTTTTTTATTTTTTTTATAATAAATAATAATACTCAAAATTGATTATGCATTTTAGTTTAGGGCAGCTCTTCAACTTGTCGTTAGTCCTGGAGATCCTCGTGAAAATTTAGATAGTTTCAAAAAAATTGGTGAAGGGTCAACAGGTACCGTTTGCATAGCTACTGATCGAATGACTGGTCGTAAAGTGGCTGTAAAAAAAATGGATTTGAGAAAGCAACAACGGAGAGAATTGTTGTTCAATGAAGTTGTCATAATGCGTGATTATCACCATGCAAATATTGTTGATATGTATGACAGTTTTTTGGTTGGTGACGAATTATGGGTTGTAATGGAATATTTAGAAGGTGGAGCACTTACTGACATGGTTACACATACTAGAATGGACGAAGAACAGATTGCTACTGTGTGCAAGCAATGTTTGAAAGCATTGGCATATTTGCATTCTCAGGGAGTAATACATAGAGATATAAAAAGTGATTCCATACTTTTGACTACTGATGGAAGAGTAATTATTTTTAATCATTATTTTATAAATTATAAATATATATTTTATTATCTTAATTTTTTAGGTGAAAATTTCCGATTTTGGTTTTTGTGCTCAAGTATCTCAAGAATTACCTAAAAGAAAATCATTAGTTGGAACACCTTACTGGATGTCCCCAGAAGTGATATCACGTTTACCATATGGGCCAGAAGTTGATATATGGTCGTTGGGTAATAATTTATTTTTATTTTATTACTTAATCAAACATTTTTTAATGTAAATTTTTTTCTAGGTATTATGGTTATTGAAATGGTTGATGGTGAACCACCTTTCTTTAATGAGCCACCTCTTCAAGCTATGAGAAGAATACGTGATATGCCACCACCAAAACTTAAAAATTCTAATAAAGTATGTTGTTTTATAACTTGTTTTATTTCATATAATTTATATATTATAAAGTATAAATATGTATTATTTAATTTTACTTACTTGCAGATATCACCCAGACTACAGGGCTTCTTAGAAAGGTTATTGGTCAGAGATCCAGCACAAAGAGCAACTGCAGCTGAACTTCTACAACATCCATTCTTAAGACTAGCTGGTCCTCCTTCACTGCTAGTGCCATTAATACGAGGATCCAGACATAGCAATTGTTAAAAGGTAAACGACTCATTGTTTGTTTGTGCAATTTTTGTTATTTATTCAATATTATTACATTACTTTTAATTTTATAACAATTTTTTTTTTCTACCAAAATTGTGTATTATTGAAGTTACTTATAAAATGTAACTTATTTAAAATGAAAAGCAATTAATTATTGTATTTTTTATAATTGTATTTATATGTAGTATTATGTAATAATTTTTAGACATCGAAAATCTTTTCACCTTTTTTGTCACAAGCTCAATATGACATACTTAATGTTGAATAATTAGTGCCTTTGTTGTAATTTTTGAATACTTATATAAATTCATCAATTCAATTCTCCATTATTTTACATAAATAGAAACCAAAGATGGAGTAAAAATAGGGTTTAATTTAATTTTGTAAAGTGTACTTTTACTTGTAACCAGGTGCCTTTTACATTGGATAATATATATTTATATATATATTTTGTTTAGTATAAAAATAATATTTTGTTGTGCATGTTACTAATCTGGCAGTTGATTCCCATAGAAATTTAATTTTTAATGAACTATTACCATGCTTATGTTTTTACAGTATTTTAATCAAATAATAATGTTGAATTTTATACGGATCATTAAATTTCTGATTTCACGGTTATTAACATGCATACTATAAAAGCAACCACACCTCTGTGTGTCATGCACTTTTATTGTTAACATAACTATTAGGTTATTCATTGTTTATAAATACCTTTTATAATATAGTATTATAAGTTTAAAGTAAGGCTGTTTTATAATTAAGATGAAAAATTGATCGAACTTAAGTAAACATACACACGGTACAATGTAATGCTTTAACATTCCAATTATTGTTTTTGATTATTTGTTAATTAATTGTTTATTATTGACATCAGTATTTAAAATGATTGTATTCACATTTTTTTACCTTCTAGTCAATAATTGATTTAACCAATCTTTTGAAATTTTCATTTGTATTATCCATTTGACATAATATTATTATTATTTTCACATGCATTTGTGGTATAAACAATATTACCTATCTAATAGAACTTTTTAGATCTCTGTGTATACTGGTTTTTTTTTTTTTTACTGCTCCATTACAAACAATTATACTTCATAACTTTATACCTGTAGGATTAGGTTAATTTTTTTTTTTTTACTTATCATTTATAACAAATTGTATTATTATTTTTTTCACTTGTTCAATACAACTAACACAAATTAATTATTAATGTACACTTATGTTTTTATATTATGTGATATTCATTTTTATTAAAATACAATTCATATTCAGTTTATTATATAATCATCATATTTTCGATCAAAAACTTAATACATTATTTTGATTTTTAATTTTATCATGTTTCTTGAATTATTTTATGTTGTATTCCATCAGTATTTTTTTGATTTGTATTTATTAATTATTTGTTTATAATTATTATTTATTGACTACTTTTAAAATATAATTATTTTTTATGTATAACTATTAATTATCACTATTATTTTACAATGTATATTTTAACTACTCTTCTAAATGTTTAGTTAAACCTGAAACGAATAATGTCAAGTTAAATATGTTGTTATATAATATTAAAACAAAACTCAATATTAATATATCTATCTTTATTATTTTTATCATACTTTTTTCCTTAAGCAACTTTTATTATTGTACAAACTCAAAAGAAAATTAAAATACTATTTTAAATCTCATATATTACACTAAAAATTACAATATAAGTTTTTTAGTGTGAGGACACGTGTGTTTTCTCTATTTTACAAATATATCTCATTTGGGTTCAACACTTCTAATTTTAAGAATTATAATTTAATATTAGAGTAAATTGACCTATTGTACAGCTTAAAAAGTAAGTACCTTATCTGTGACTTTTATTGACGTTTTTATGATATTTTAATTTTTAAGAGAATTATGACAACTTTTATACTAGTATTTGGTATAATTAAAACTTACTTAGAAATTAAAATATCTTGAAAACACTATGCTCTTTGCTTAAAGTTTGAAAAAGGTAAATTCGCACTAATATAGAAATTAGTGTATTATCGGTAGTGATAAGGGATGGCCCTAGGAATCCTAAGTGGAGCCCATTTCAAGCACCGAGACTCCAAAATATGTGAAAATTTCAAATAAAAATTATAGAAAATTTGAATATTTCTTTAAAGTTTGCCTATAACCTAACGCGTGAATATGACTTGATACAGTGGCTTGCCCGCGGTAGAAGTTATTTATGGCGAAATAAATATGATAAGCTGAATGTTTCAAAAAATATTTGTGACCAACAGAATTGGGTTACAAGTTGCACCGTAACATTTATAATGAAATTATCCACCAGTTATTAAGGTTTTCGTCTCCATTCACCTTATCCCCGTGGTGACACTTATCATTTCGCAATGTTTGCTAACGACCGGAAGACTTAACGTACGTTTCTGTAGTTTCCAACCACATGATAGATCAGTGAAGAATGCCGTTTTACTTCGGAATGTCACAAAGCGAACTAAGCTCTTTGTATTGGTAACACGTAGTATAGTATATATTATATATTGTACTACGTTACCACCGTGTCTGTCGTCTGGTATTTTCATTCTTATAACTTATAAGTAGTTATAACTATTATTATTATTATTACAGTTACGTTGCCGTTCATGCTGTTATGGTATATACTATATAGCGTGTCGTCCGTGTGTTTACCAATTTAAGGAACACTAAATTTTTCGGCCAGATTCTATGGAAATAATCGAATTTCTTTTTACAAGCTAGTGGTATTTAAATTCACATTTATAGATAATTTTAAAATTATTATCATTTCAGTATGTTCATTAAAACTTTTTTTTTTTTAAAGCAACACCTATTTTGATCACCATATTCAGATAGACCTAATTTTTTAAGATATAATTTTAATATTTAAACTATGGTTCTAAATTAAAAATTAACTAAGTATAAAAGCCATTTCAATTTTAATAAATAAAACATTTTTACGATCATTAAAGTGTATAAAACCATTTATAATTATTTATTATTGGTTACTTTTTGAATTTTTACGTTTGTTTTTCCAAAAAAAATAATTGTCAATGTCAAAAATTTATTTTTATTCTAAAGTTAAAATTCAAAGTAAATATTATTTTTTTTGATAAAAAAATGCCAACGACACGTAGTGTTCCCAAGCGGTCACCCATCCAAGTACTAACTACGCCCGACGTTGCTTAACTTCAGTGATCGGACGAGAACTGGTGTATTCAACGTGGTATGGTCGTTGGCGACTTCCTGGTGGAAAATAATAATAATTAAATAAAATATCATTAATATATTTTAATATAACGCCATATTATTAGTAAATTATAGTCTTTATATAAGTATATCAATGATAATGGTATTTAGAAAAATTAACTAACATAAAATATTAAAATCCCATGACGCTTGCCGACTTAAATGATTAGGAACAGTGCCGGATTACTACTATCTATGTTTTTAAAATATATATCATATTAAATATTATAAAAAATTAATTTACGCAGTTACATAAATGCATGAAATATTTATATAATTTTTTTTCCATTTTTAAAAAAATTTGTCGCCCTAGGCCCGGGCTTCCATAAACAATTTAAAATTAATTTGGTAGCTTTTTTACTTTGGTTCCAATTTTTAGTACTGGCCATATGCATTTACATTGAATAGAACCGTTACAACAATAATACTATAGTATTAAAATAGGTAGATACTTGTATTAATAAAACTTAGTTAAATATATTTTTAACATAATCGTAAATATTGAAATATGCATTGATAACTACTAACTATTATTAGTACCTATTATCATGGATGGACACAAATTTACACAATAATAATGAGAGTATAAATGAGGTGCATTTTAAAAGTTATGTTTAGAAATCTAAAACGAGCAACTTGTATGACGTTAAAAAATCCAAAAAGTTAATTTTTTTATAGTATACAATATTGTTTTAGCCGTTTTTTTAAATAATAAATTTTCTAAAAATATTCGTTAAAATCTAATATATTGTAATAAGTAGGACAAGTAGGTATAGCCCCATGGACGTAGCATACCCTAATTAACAAGGACTTAAGTCCTTGACTATTTTTATTAAACTATGCTAAAATTGAATGTATTGAATTATAACATCAATAATCATTACAATTATATACTTATATAAATAGTTCAAATTTACAGTCAATCAATAAATATGCAATGTATATTTATTGAATTATGACTGAGAAATAAGTACCTAGGTACTAAAAAAACAAAAAAATTTTAAAAATTTTATTTTATCATTACATTTTATATAAGATTGACCGAAGTCAATCTTACGTTTATTTGTACTGAATATATTTAAAGTATCTTCAGTTTTTATTTTTGACAATTAGTCTCGTTTAATATGTAAAATAGAGAGGTTTGAAAACTTATTAAGTACCTACTACAGGATTTACATAGGATCAGATACATACAATTCTATAATATTTTAATATTTATTGTAAATCCTACGGGAAAACCATCATTAACTATTTGTATATGGGCCGGTTTAAGTGTTACCCTATCTAATAAAATCTGAATTGATGCTACTGATAAATAAACGCAAGTTATAAATTAAAATTAATAATAATTGTCAATTAGTAATACCAAATTAATAAACAATGATCTGATAAAAAAAAAGTCATGTTAATATAAAAAATTATATTATTATTATATTTGAATTGTTCAATTGTATTATTTTTATTTGTATGGGTTACTTTGTAATAATAATAATAATAATAATAATAAAATGAACTAATATTTTATTAGTTATTATTATTGCCATTGATTTTAAAATATACTTAAATTTTACCATATTTTAAAATCAATGCTGTTACTGGCATACTGTCTTAGCCAGCTGTCAAGCTTAGATTTATTTCATCCATGGAAATCCATTAAAATTTTAAGGGAGGACCGAGAATAACACTTTAAATATCAATATGAATTAAAAGATAAATAAATCAATAATATAATATTATAACTTTAACAGTTTTTGAGGTTTTAGTTTTCCTCATTTCTTCCCGTGTTTCAACTTTTTAAATTGGACGAGCCGAAGGACAGCATAAAATATAAATCTATTGGATGACGAGAATAAGAATAGCTTTTAACAAACTGATAAATTTAAATATGGGGAATAGATTTTATGAACAAATTTGAATGTTCAACATTTAACTTTAAGGTTATATATATTTCTTAATAGTGTTCTAAAATTTTAGATATATATTATTAAAATAAATATATTTGAGGAAAAATTTGTTCATAAGATTAAAGAAAAAATACTTGTCTTGCCACTCAAGACAAATCTGTTTTAAATTTAAAAATTTATAATCAGTTTGATTTTAAAACTAGGTTTAAAAATTGAATACACAGTACATTATTTCAGTTGATATTATTGGAAAACATTTTAAGCTATTGACTCATCATGATAAATTATGTGTGAGAATTTTGAATTGTCCAAATACACGTGGCAATTGTCCTTTAACTAATAGAGATAGGTAGGCTTAGATAATCATTATATCATGTTGATGAAACCATAGAACATAATATATGTTGAGTTCCATAATGAAATGATTATCCTATTTGAAAATAATTATGTACACTTATTAAAATAAATTTATTATAATAGTTATTATTTTATAGTTTGTTCAAATATGTATGTTAACAACAAATATTTGCATCACAAAATGATCATTTAAACAAGGAACATTTATATCTAACATTTAAAATTTACATCATTTTCATCTATTATTTACAAAACAAACATATATATAAATATGCATATATAAAGAAAACAATAAAAGTAAAAAAATTACATGAAACAGATTCTTAACTATTGCATAAAAATTGTACGAGTGTGTTTTTGCCAAGAAAACTATTGCAGGACATAATATACACTTGTACGTTAACAAGACAGAATACTTTTTTTTGTAGTATCGAGGAAGACTAATGCTATATTATCAAGCATGTATACTTGTAACATTTGTGTTTTAAAATTACTTCCGAAATAAATCAGTCAAATAATGTAAGCCATACACCAAATATGTTCAAACTTCAGCTCCCAAATCTAAAACCCCGGCTTCAGCTATAGGCACGTAACGTTCGTCAATCTTGATCAATAATATAGTTTTATCAACGTGAGATCTTTTTGACAAGTCACGATGATTTGGAACCCATTGATGCACCACCTAAAAATGTAAAAACAACATTTTTAATAAATTATCTTTATATATAGGCTTAAATTTATAGGAAAAGATAATAATTAGTGTGTTATATATTTTATATTTGTTAATTTTTCTCTGTTAATTAATATAAACATATATAGTAAATATAGTAAAAATGTAATAGGTTACCAATCCTTCCATTCCTTTTTCTGGTAACCAATCTTTCCAGTGACTACGGCCACCTCTTATTCGCATTTTTTCATCTGGCCAAACTACATCTATTCTACGACCCAAGTTTATAGCATCATACACTTGTAATGGATCCAAAATCTATTTAAATATAAAAATTATATTTTATCACTAATAGTTATGAAATATTGTTAAGGTTATTATGAATTATACTAAGAAAACCTACCAAAACTCTATGTTGGATTGGAGAATTATCATTAGGGTTGCTATCAACTGATGCTTGTGGTGAACTAGTGATTGGTGATTGTGATGATGATAACAATCCTGCCAAGTTGGCTAAACCAGCAGAACTTGGTTTGCCAGCAACATTAGCTGTACTACCTCTAGTACCACCACTTCTGCTACTGATGCTACCACCAACTCCACTTCCACTTCCACTCATTTCAATTGACTGACTTCCTGGTGTTCTGGTTCCATATCCAGAATGCCTATTAAACTGTGTCATAGCATACACACCCTCATGTCCAAATCCACCTTCATCGTGTGACTGTAATGAACTTCCACTTGAACATCCCTCAACACATCTACTTTTTAATCTAAATGTGGAAAATATAAGTCAAAATATTTAGTTTTTAAATTATTTAATTTAAATTGTTGTAATAAACTTACCTTGACCACATTCTAATAATAGATTTTTTTATCTTTCCTAAGCTTATTGATCCACCAACAAGTGATGATAATTGTTCATTGGTCTCAGCATAGGAAGTAGTTAATGGTGAAACAAAAATTGGATAACCAATAGGTTGGTCACACGATGAATTTATTATGTTTCGTAAAGCTTGTTTGGCATTTTGAATACTACCACGTTCAGGATTACGATTTCTCAAGTAAACTAATTCCTGTTGTTGCCCTGCCCAAAGACCACGAACACATTCGCGGTTTATTTTTATGACACGGAAACTTAAAAACCGCTTGTTTAACATAATTACTTTATACTCATCAGAACCTTCATCCATTATATGTCTATTAAATAAAACAATTTGATTTATACTTTATAAATACATTTAAATTATTATCATAAAAATACATGGTAAAAGTTTATTATCAACCTGTTGGGGTGCATGAACATTTTTGTGGCCATACCACATTGGTTTGTTATTTCTTTGCCATTTATATTATCAAAATATTGCATATAATATCTAAATATTTTTTTTAACATTATTTATTAAAAAGTATATAATCTGTAATAAATAATAATACTAATAACAGTTACAATAAACATATAAGTGGACAAGAAAAATAATAATTTATAAAACGTAAAAGTTTGAGGAGAGTAAGTACCTACAAGTAACACTCGGATTTTCAACTAAATCCAAATTCAAATATTAATCTAATAATTAGTAAAAACAATAATTTACAAAATATATATTTTAATACATCTTAGACAATATTTATAGAAAAAATTTAATTTTAGCAAAGTAAGTTATTAAAGGACATCACAACACTAAAAAAGTTTACTTAGATATAAAGTATGCTTTATCTAAGAAATATGGCATGGGTCTCACACTTAAATACTAATTATCCAATAAAATACAAGCGTTTGAAAATATACATGTGACATCATAGAGCTGAAATTGGAACAGTGGCGTATGTTTACATGCGTAAGTGTTTAGATTAACACAACAATTTCAATTATTAAGTATAATATTTTAAAATTTTTTTTTATGCAACCTTAAGTATTTTTTTGTATTATTTATGATACTGATATGATTATAATTTTGATATACTTTCTAGAATTTTTATAGTAGACTATTAGAATCAATTTTGTAAAATTTGGTTATTATACGAGTAAGTATACGACACAAATTGTGAACTCAATAATTTTACTAAATTTTAATTTATAATATGTATGCGACAACAAGATATATTCAATTTTAAATCATACCATCATCTTAAGCAGATAAATATACTTAGCATTTAAAAAAAAAAAATTCTGAAATATTATTTTAAGGTATTAAAATCATTGTGTAAATCAAATTACTTTTACATGTAAAACATAGGCAGCTGCTCACTCATCGGCTCTATGATGTAACGCAGCTATTCATCAACTCTCATTACCTCGTTGAATAATCATTTTTTAACTTCGGATTTTTACCATAACATTTTTGATTGTGTTAGCTACATTAATACACCAATAAACTTAAAATTAAAAAACAAATTTAATGTTGTGGTGTCCTTTAATATAGGCCAAAAAAATAAAGTGAATGTGCTTGATACTACATAATTATGATTTAAACATTATAACAAAACAAATTAAAAGAACCTTAGTGCTATTGTAGTACGTAAATCTACAACAATTCTAACAAAGACTAATACATTATTTTATGTTTGTTTTAAAGTATTGATAAACGTTTTGGACCAAAATGTGTGTTTAACTTTACTTGATATAATTTAACGATTTACAAACTATCTTTATAACAGAAGTATAAAAATCATATAATTAATGTAGCTCTTATAACTAAATAGAGCCGTAATATTAATATCATATGGTTAATAAGGTCTTAAAGATAAAAACATTAAATTAATATTAGATAAATGTATACTATTGTACTTAATACTGTTAATAGTGCTGGATAAGATAGAGATTGTCATAAACTTAGAGAATAAAAAGGTAAAGGATGATAGTAGGTTTAGCGTGAGTGTCACTTAGTATAAGTAATATGACAAGACAGCAGAATTTTAATCCCAATTTTTTAATTTTAATTTTGTTAGTCATTTATGTAATAATAATTATTATTATAACCTAATATTAATCATCAAATATATCATTTATTATTATGACTATAAATGGCAGAGCATTAACAAACCAATACCAAATATATATATATACATGTATATATTAATCTTACCTCCTATTTTTAAGTATAACTTATTCCAGAACAGAAAGATTTTAAATATTAATACAATTTTATGTAAATTTACCTTAAAGCAAGTAATGATGGCATTCCAGACAAAACAGCATTTCTCCAAACAGGATCACCTTCATGCGATATCACTAAATTTCGTTGCAGGTAGTTTAAAGTATTGTACAAAGCAGCTGGATCTTCATATTCATCAGGAACCATAAAATGATTCTATACACAAAAAAATTCGGTAATTAATACATATATTATAAAAATATGTTAAATGAAGATTACACACCTGATGAAGTTTCAATGACATTCTAATTGCTGGAGCTAAGACTTTACGCATCAAGTCCATATCTGCAAATATCCATTCATCTCTCGTTGATGTTATACGAAAATCTCCCTTAAAAAGGGCATGGAGACCATAGAGAAAAAACTCAACACTAAAAAATGTAATTTATGCATAAGTTTAAAGTTTTAAGCTCATTATTCCTTGATTGATGTTAATATACCTTGACATGGTAGTGTGCGATGCTAAACCCAATGATCGTCTTCCTAGTAAGCTGAGTGCAAAACATAATGATACTAATAAAGAATCTTTACCTTTATCTATAACAATTTTTTGAATCTGAAAATATAAAAAAATAATATACATAATTAATAGTTGTAATAATCAGCTTAGTTGTAATGTTGATTCTAAAAAATGATTATTTATGATAATTTAATTTGACTACTATATAATTTAATAAGCTATTTATAATATCTATTGTTAATTATATAAATGACATTACTGTCTATTAAATATATAAGTGTAAAATTTAGTATCTCAAGAAACAATAGCAGGTCTGATGTATATTTAAGTTTGGTGTATACATATTAAAATAATTATGAAATTTCAAATGGGTTTAAATATTTTATTCTAAATATTAAGTAACATAGACACTCTTGAACCAGTAAAATGTTTTTAAGAGGTTTTAATTTTCATATGTGTTTCTTCCATATTATTTTAGTCAATTTTTATTTTATAGATATTTGTATTTTGAAGTTTTAATACAGATAAAATTGAAATTTTCAAAATAGCTATTTTTTTTTTAGCAATTATGTTACATCTACTTGAAACTTTTTAATATTACTTATAAAATTATTTTACAAACACAATGCAATGTTCGTAATATTTATACTAACTTTAAACTGTTTATAACATTAACCTATTTATATCATCCTATGGTATACAGTACTGAATTATAAGTTAATAAGTAATAATATAATATAAATATATTATAATTAGTATCATTTAATTTATATAATGTTTTTGGCATGAGTTAGTTAAACTTACTATATTACACTATTACTAATGTAATAAATAAATAATAAAATATCCTAAGAAATATAGACAAATGCAGTCTTTGATCAGAATCGTTTTTACTTGTAATGATTGATAAATGAACTAAAATTGTACACTCCCATCATCTACTTAATGATACATCCTACAATGTATTATTTAATAAAACAACTTCCCTGGCCTTTTTCAAACTTACATTTTCTGTTTGGAATGCACAAAATCTTATCCACTCCAAATAGAATGAACAGAAACTGTTGCGGGTAACACCACACGAAAGCAAGTCAAAATCTTCATCAATATTTATATTGAAAACTGGATCGAGATCCACAAAATTCTTGCTTAATGTTGGTTTTAGTCCTTCTTTTATCTCATCTGATGCTAACCATTGTTGAAGTTTTGGTGATCGTATAACATAATATATAATACTCTAAAATAAAATATTAAAATCTTATAAATATTATATACTTGAGTCATATATATAAAAAAATATTATAGATTATATACTATAAGTGCTATATTATAAATTATTATAATATAATTATTAATAAATTACCTTTATGTAATAGCTAACCAATACTTTCCGAAAGTCAAATACTTGTAACATTGATGAGGCATTAATATCTGATATACTATATCCTTGTACAACATACTTGGCTGCTACTACTTGCCAGGCAAGCCAACGTTGACCAAGAGCAGCATTTAGAGATAAAATGTGAGGAAAATGTCCAGGCTCACAGCAACAACATCCTATAATAAAATGTTTGTATATGTTTAAAAAACTACAGAAATAACTATGTCATTTATTTTAAACAAGATGAAATGTACAAAATAGTTCCTAATGAGGTACAAGCCTCCCTCCCACCTTCTCCTCCATGTTTAAAGCCACAAAAAAATAAAAAAAGTAGAACACATGAATCTATCTACTTAGAATTAAGTCAGACGAACTAGTTTACTATGGGCAATTTTCAGTCATACAACAATATAAATTTAAATCAGTGGTGTAGCCAGGATTTTTATTCGGAGAGGGGGGGGGGAGAGCTGATCAACTTTTTACACAGCTGTGGTTTACTTAGGTTCTTCCATAATTTGAACATGCAGATTCTGAAGTTTTATTTTAGATTTTTGTTCCTATAACCCTTAACATATTATATTGATTTAATATACTTGTATACTTTAAATACTTTGGATATTGTATTATAATAGTAATATACAATAATTTTTAAATTTTTTTAAAATTTCAGAGGGGGGGCTACAGCCTCCTCAGCCCACCCCCTGGCTATGCTACTGATTTAAATTTATTAAAAATGTTTATAAATAGATTTTTTAGCACAAACCTTCATTATCTTCAACACCTTCAGATATGGCTTCTACTTCTCTTTGCTGACAGTAAGTACCACGAAACTCAAGTCCACGCATTTGAAAAGTAACCAAATTGTTTCCCATTTCAACAATGTGAACCAGACAATTCAAATAATCAGATGCTAAGACAAAGCAGTCTCCTTGTGACACATTACCCCAACGGCCTAATATGAGATCACCACAGAGTGTATGTTGTAGTAGTCTAGTAAGGTGTTCATAAAATATTGAATTAAGATTATTATCATCTGCACCAAGATTTCGTTCCAAATGTGATGATAATTTGGTGTTTGTATGATCAACTCGCCTAGTATTATAATCTCGCTCCCAAAATTTAACAGGTCGTGGATAGGATGTTAAAAATATAGCACTTCCTAAATAAAATAATGAAAACAATGAATACTTAATATAATTTACAATTTTTTACTATAATGCAAACTTTGTACTACTAAGGTTTAATATTTACCTAAAAATGGATAAAGTGGTGAAGAAACCACCGCAGACAAAAATGCTTGAAGAAACATCATTGCAGAATGAGGAACAGAAAATGGTTGAGCAAAAGCATGAAAAGCTGAACCCCAAGTAATTTGCCATGGTGCTATGTATGTTATGACAAATTGCAACTAAAATAAAAGAAAAAATCAAATTAATATTATGAACAACAGACATAAGGTTAATTATAATAATTTACCTTAAGTAAAAACTCATAAATTTTATCATAAGCAATAGCAGTAAGGTAGTAATCAATAATAAAAGTTTCAGAACATTTTATATAGTCCAATTGAAAAAACAGTACTGCAAATGCTAGTATATTATACTGGTTGGATTGTTGTGAAAATGAGCAGCGTAAACATTTAAGTGCACATACTGATAATACTAAAGAACCCAATAGAACTCCCAATTTTGTTACAACAATTATACTGTCAGATGTCAAACAACCAATAAACATCAGTGGATAGAGAACATTTCTTTCAAAGAAGCATAAGTATACATAAACCTATAAGAATAAATAATAAAACGTGTTTATTAGACAATAATTTTTTTAATATGTGTTAAACATAAAAAATTATGTAAAAATAATTTTCCAAACAGTACTTATAATGGGTAATGACACTCACTTTTTCAAACCACATAATTTTAGCTAATTGTTTAACCTCATATTGATTATACTCAGATGGCTTTAGTATGGGATGAGCAATGCATAACCAAGGCAACTGCTTTCGCAATTGAGGTATTACATAGTGTAGAATAAATCCAACACTGAAAGTAGTACACCACATAACCTGTAAATTATTAACTAATTAATTCAAAATAAATCAAATAATTTATCATAGTTTAGATTAATATGTTATTATTATGTTTCTAAAACTTCATATAAGAGATCATCAAGTATAGCAACTGTTAAGTTTATAACAATTTAATTTTTAAATTATCTAAGTACAACATTGGTGTTGTTTTATTTATAATCAGCTACTAGTATATATTAGTTTTAAAATTTAAAAAAATAATTAATTAAAGCATGCAAAAAAATATTAAATTTAGTATCACTGTACTATTAAGTTTACAAGTTTATATATGTTATATTATATATATATTTTTTTAGTATTATTTATATTCAAAACATTAAAAGTATAAAGAGTTTTGTGCTTACTGGATTTAATTCTGGTTGTAAAGCTGAAAAAATATTGCTAGAATGAATAGCGAAAACAATAAGACCAATAATTGGACAAAAAATTAAATCAGTCTTCAGTCTTCCATTTATTGTATCTTGTAACTGTTTTGGCCAGTCGTCTTGAATTTCATTTTCGTCATCTAATTCTTAATGTAGTAGCATTGTTAGTTAAAAGATTTATAATTTTTTAAGCAATAGCTATTTTAAAGTAATATTTACCAGACTTTGTTTGTTCTTCACTTTCACCTTCTTTTTGTTCAGAGCCCTTTTTCTTTGATTTTTCAGTTTCTTTTTTAGGTCTAGGACATTCCATATCAGGTCTAGAGAATATATCTTCATTGGGCCACAAATATGTTTTTAGAACATTTAATATAGGAGCTGGATCACTAGAGCTGCGACTTAAATGGTAAGATATGGCAGTAAGTAGTGCACAAAATAAGGAGAAAAATACATTTCTTGATGATCCAGACCAATCATTTAATGCTACATATGCAAATCCAAATAAAATAGATACAGCCAAACAACTTCTTAGTACACAATATGCAGATGCTTTAAGTGAACTGGTTGCATTACCTCCAAATAAATGTATATCAATTTGTTCCAGAGTATACATAAAAAAAGTATTGACCTGAGGCAATAATCCCAAACTAAAAGCGATTGGTAAGAATAATAAAAAATTTGATAAGAAATCTCGAATAGTTTCTAATATATATAAAATATGTAAAGTGAATCCATAAAACTTGAGTTGGTAAAATGTTCGACCAGAGTTTAATTGAATATGTGTTAGTAGAAGTATGGATGAGAACAGTATGAAGTAAACTGGACGACTATAAACTACAATTTTGTTAAAACCATGGGTGGGAGATGCCACATCGGGTTGTACAGATTTCACTAAAGAATACTGACAACCAGCCATAACAAAACAAAAAACAAATGCATGAATATCTCTGTAGAATTTAAAGTACAATACAAAAGCGCCCAATACAGCAACTGATGTAGCAAGAATAATGGTAATAAATAATTCCAATAATGTTGGGTTACGATCAATGGCAGTTAATAATGCCAGACGATCAAAGCGAATTTTGAAACAAATTTTCTTGATTGGTTTGTATGGATAATATCGTTTAGGTTTAGGAAATCCAACACTAGGATCAAGAAGATCAAATCGCAGCTGCCTGGGTATTACTGGAAACTCATCTTGATAATCTGGTCTATTATTATCATGTTCGTGTTCTAGGCTTTCTTCAACTGGTGTAATTATTGGTGAAATGTTGAAATGACGGTAACGCAGTGGTTGACTTTGTGGCCAGTAAGGATCTTCATGTTCTAATTGTTGTTCATAATTACGAATGGGACGAGGAAACAACCGTACAGGTGAGTGATTAAATACAAGATCATCTGTAGAATCATCCCTTCGTGATGATAAATTTGAGCATGGTTTAATTATTGAAGAATTATTATTTAACATATCTCTAAAAGTATACGTCATCCAGCGACCGTTTTCATCACGAAAAAAATGTACAGATCTATAACACAGATATGTTGAAATATTATTATTTTGTTAATTTAATAGTTTTTATAATATAAGTATTTTTGTACAAACCCTTCTGATGTATCTTCAGGACAAGCAGGAAAATTGACACCATCAGCTGCTTGTAGGATTGGAGGAATAAATACATCACCACGAGATCTTATTCGAGAAAAATGCCTATTGCTGAGAAAATAATTTTAGTTAAAATTATAATAATTAGTGATTATTTAAAAAGATGTCATTATTTGTTTTCTCTCTATGCAAATGCGAAAATATATTTACCTAATTTGTCGATTTCTCGTTCTACTTCTGTTTTCAACTCGACCATGAAAAACATCATTAATATGATCTAAAACAACTTCATTTTTCACAGTTGTCGAAGTTTGATTATGTTGCTGTGATTCGCTTGATGGAGTGATAGCTGGTTCAGAACTTGTGGGAAGAAGGGAACTTAGTTCATTGTGAGAACCAGCAGAAGAAGAAGCACCTTCATTCACATTTAATGTAGTCATTCTATAATATTAATTATAACCAAATATAAATCACTTAACTTTGCACTATAAATTTAAATATAAAATTTATTTATCTAAAAACTCCTTATAGAAAATCATCTAATCAACTGTTAGGAAAATGACAAGTTTGATTTAAATTATACAATTTTTTTAGCATAATTATTAAAATTAAATACTGACAAATACCAATTTATTACTCTCTTAAATTAATTTAAATGCTAATTTTAAAAACTGAAATAAATTATTTGAAGACCAATTATACATTTTCTAAACCTATTTATGCAACTTCACAAAAAACTCTAGGCAGACTTTTATCAACAAATCTATTCACTTTATATTTAAATAATCTAACCTGAGAATTGTAACATAGAATTATATACTAACAACATGAAGTAAATAATTTTATAAGTGATATTGATGATGACTGTAACCTACAATATAACATTAATCACTACCAATTGGAATAAAATTGATGATGAGAAAATACTATACCATAATTTAAATAAATTTATACTTAATCCATAGGCGTCCCCAGATATTTTTCTAGGAAGGGGGGGAATTAATTTAAAAAATAAATAAAGATTTTTTTATAGTACATTATCATGTTTTGTCAGTATAACATTAAATTATTACATTAGGAAACAAATTTAAAATATTAGGGGCGGGGGCAAGTGCCCCGTCTTTTCCCCTATAGGGACACCCATGACCTAATCTCATACCTTAAACCAAAATAAATTAAGTTACATTTTATAAAAATTGCCCAAATTACAATAGCTTAAGTTTTTTCAAGTAGTTTACAATATTTTAATGACACTTAGTACATTCACGATTTAATGATTAAGATATTTTCTATATTTATTTAAAATAAATAATCTTATTTAAAGAGAAGTTAAAATTCCTGTTATATTGAATCTTCACTCTAAATTATAATCCTTTTTATCAACAAATCACTTCAAATTTAGGATACCTAAGAATTGTAGTTACTTTACCTCCAAAAAATAAATAATTAAATTAGATACAAATTATAAATATGTGCAATGCATATGAACTCACGCATCAGGTCTACTAAGAGTGTTATTGTCAATCCATTCATCAGTAACCGTAGGATAACTTTTAGATTCAGTTCCACAATCCATATCACTTTTAATCTTGTCACAAATACATCTTCTAGATTCTGTTAAAAATATAAATTAAATATACTGAAAATATTCTAACTTAATGGCTTACAGTATAATTTGTACTATACAAAATTTTTATTACCATTGGATTTATTTTTATTAGTTCTACGATGTCTTTTTCTATCTGAATCATTTTTAACACTTAAATGAGGAGTTGATGTAGCTTTTCTTTTTTTATTTGATTTTTTTACTAAAAAAATACAATTAAAATTAATCAAAATAAGTATAATTATTATAATCTAATTAATAATACAAATATTTTAATTAAAAAAATATATATAATTTAATAATAATAAAACATATCTTACTATCTTTAACAGATTTTGTTTTTGGTATAGCGCCTGTGTTTTCAAATCCAATTGAAATTGGAGTTTGAATTTCTTCTTTACTTCCATCTTTTGATTCAGATTTATTTTCTAAAATATTAAATAAATTTTAAAAATGAATTCCAAAAAAAAATTCATAGAGTAGTACAAATAATGATTAATGATTGAATTATTGAATTTTAAGAACTCCTTCGTGTATGCAATACACTCACTAGAATTATTATCTTCTGAAGTAGTGGTATAGTCATCATCAGACAATGTAAAATGCCATGGTATTGATCTATTTTTTTCTATTTTCCTTACTTAGTGCAGCATGTCAACAGTTATGATTTATATTTAAAAAGAAATTAAAATTAAAAATTAAATGATAAAATTACCTTTCATATCACTAGACTCTGATTCACTTTCTGTATGCTCAAATAACCAATCAATACCTAATGTCTCTGGTGATTCCGCTGGAGGTTTTAACTCAACTTCTAAATGAAAAAATATATATTAAAAACACTGAATAATTATCAAAAAATTAAAAAAATCAGTTTAAAAAATTGCAATTAAATATTCAAATAAAAATTAAAGTATTATAATTGAAAATTAGTGTTAATTAAAAATACAATTCTAGTATCTATTAAAATACAATTTTTAAATAAATAATTAAACTATTACTAACTTCAAATATTGAAAGTTAAATTAATTATCATTCCATACCTTTAGGTTTATTTTTTTCTATAAATGCAATTTCAACATCACTTTCAGTATGGAAAATTCCTTTAACTTCAGCACATATTTTTTTCCAATTTTCTTCGTGGCTATTTAACAAAGGTGATCTACTTCCAGCTTCTTCATCATCATCGCTATCAATTGTTGTGTGTATTATTCCATGACTAGAACACTGATCTTCACAGTGTTCAACAATTGGGTAGTCAATATCACTCGATGTAAAAACAAGTTGGTAACTAGATGTTCTTCCTACATCTGTTATTATAAATTACATAAGATATTTTTTTATTTTAAGTGTAGAATTTACAATTTATATGATTATTATACCTTTATCTTTGGTAAACGCATCACTAGATGTAGAATAATCTGAACTAGCACACTTTGGATCTCTTTTTAATGCTAATGTATTACTTTCATTTGTGAAGCAATCCTATTTAACACATACATTTAAATAATTAATATTCTTTTACATTAATACAATATTAATATTTTAAACTAACAGTAGATACTGTAATGAAGTCTTGAACCTGTTCATCTTGATATTTCCATATTTCTGAAAAACTTTGTAAACCTGCACGATCATAACGTCTATTACTATTTTCTTCTACTGGTTTATCAACAAAATGTGGATTGTCTACAAAATATTATTATTATTAAAATATATAAAATAAAGTTTTATAATAGTTGACATACTTAAACTTTTAATAGGCCAATCACGTATAATTTTTTCTTGAATATGTAATCCAGAATCAGTGCTAGTAGAACTACTTTGCCTTCCTCCATCTATAAATATTAAAAACACATATTTAAAGGTTTAAAGTAAATTATTTGAAGCACAGTTCATACTTGGTTCATTTCGGTGGTATCCAGATGTTGAAGGTTCATTTCTACGGACCCCCAAATTAAGGATTTGCATTTCAATACCCTCATCTTCTCTAAAAATAAAATATAATATTTATTAAAATACAATTAAATTTTATACATTTTATACAGTTAAAATAATAACTTACACATAAAATTTAATAATGTAATATATAAAATAAAATACATCTTTATTTAAACATAGAAAAGAAATATTTTATGTAAAAATAATGATCATGAGAGTTAAATATGGATAAATTGCAACCTGAACAAATATGTTAGGACTATTGTAGTATTCTAAATTAAAATGAAACAATCAAATAAAATAAGTTGAAAATTTTACTTACCTAATTTTTAATAATAAAATTAATATAAAAAAATTATTAAAATAAAATAATATTTTAAAATAATTACGGGTTTGGTTCTCTAAGAGCAGGACGACGACCTTCAATATCTGAACTTCTATTCTTTTTGGTGTCTTCTACAATATATTCGGTTGTGTCGAACATGTGATGCAAAGACCAATTTACAAGTTTTATGACTGTAATTATCAAACTTACAACACTTGAATACAGTATCCATATAAACATCTCTGATATATACTTCAAAACAAATTTACAAAAATTATATTATTAAATATAGATTTACAGAAATAAATAAAATAGGTAGATTACCAAGTGTATAAAAAATGGCAAACAAAGTAAAATGAGCCATAAATAAAGATGGAATGTATTGGTGAAAATGCTGTGTTTTGGTTCGTAGTACCATCCTCCTGTGAACGATGCCCAAATGCCTTGACGCAATATGTCCCAAAACTGAGAACCCATATTCTCCACCAGTCATTTGTGCTTTGTGTAACTTATCAATTTTGAATCCAAGTACACATTTTCTAAAATATAAATATAATCTTAATATGTAGATACTTAAATCTTTGTACAGTCATTAACTATTAATAATTGAAATGTTCATAAACATTATTTAATAAAAGTTAATTTTTGTTAAATTATAAAATTTATAAATAAGCTAAATCTCAAAAAATATTTTTGTAAAACATTGATATGAAATGCTAATATATACTTAAAACTGTTTTTGAGATATCATTTTTTTTATGTTATAACTATAAAACACATTTTAACTTTTTTTTATGTTTAATAATGAAGTTAATAGTTATAGAATCAACAGATAAACAATTAAACTAGAAGCATAAAATATAGATAATAAAATATAAATATCATTAATATTTTATTAAGCATATTCATATGAATAAAATAAAATAATTTAATATATTATTAAGTAAAATAAGTATTTTACTTATTATCAAAAAAAAAAAAAAAGAAATTAAATAGCAATGAATCAATGGTTAGTTATAGAATTTAATTACAAACTAATTCTATTAAATATAAGTATTAGTAATTTATATCAAATGACCTAATATAAAAGCATCATTAATAAGGTAAAATTTGATAAATTCAAGAATTATTACAATTGTGTGTTCATTGTAATAAACCAATACCAATTCCGTTAAACTAAGTGAAAAACATTAATTAAACATAAGATAAGAGAAATATTACAAAATGTGTACTAATAAGTAATACACTACAAATTAGACAAATTTTTATAATTTTCATAAAAAAATTGTTAATATATCTTAAAATATATTATTATTTAAAAATAATAACATCATCAATAACAGTATACATTTTTACATAGCATTATTGTATACATATTGTAAATTATATTAATTATTTATTTAAGTCACTTTAAATATTTTGTAACAAATGGCGTTCCTGTAGTCTTGAATGATAACAGTAAATAAATAAAGATTGAATTCTGACAAACTGACATGCAACAGATCGGGTATTTAGTACAAACGGTTAGATAACATTAAGCGATTATGTTGATTTTCCACTTGTAATCAAAAGTAAAACAGTAAGTCAATGACGACACAATGTTATTTGAACGTGGATCATAAATGGAAAATCATTCTTTTAAAATTTTTAAATTCAAATATACTTTACTTTGACTTTATGTTGGTGACTAAGACAGCATGTTCAGTAGTCGAATTAAGATCGTTGTTTTGAACAAAAAAAAATATATAAAAAACAGTACAACTTGAAAATTAAAAAAACACAAATATCAAATATTCATTGTTATTTTTAAGTTATAACACTTCAGAGTTAAGTTATGATGGTAATGGTCTGATGGAACTGATGGTAGCGGACAGTCACGTTTGATAACTCATTAAGTCATAACTATAATATTATAACAAAACATCATACTACAAAACATATTATCAATTTTGTAATCATACGAATGTCGCTATTATCATGAATTTTGTTATCAGCGAGAATTTGAAATTGTAGAATTGGTAACTTTTTTCCGAACTAGCGCCAGCAGTGGTCATTGGGTTACCATATTGATATTTAATAGCAAAGAAATAAAGTAGGCATGCAATGATTTATTTTTCTGTTAAAAACAAAATAACTAAGCTAAACATTTACTTTATTTATTTAACTATTTAGTTAACTGTAGTGTAATAAGTCTTTTAAAAAATGAATTTATTCATTACTTGTCGTTACCATGAACTAAGTGACATTCTATCTTTTAAGATGGTGGTCATCACTCATGAAACGTATCATTATTATACTTAGTCACCTGGATGCCTTAGAATTTAAATCATAATAATAAACTATTATATAGGTAGGACAAGTAGGTAAATAATTGCAAAAGGACCCAATATAAATATGTGCGTGCGCATCCTAATGGACCTCACGTACATCATGTTTATTTGGTAAGTTCTAAATTATATTTTATAAATACTTATTTTTTTCAAGTTTCCAATCTATATGGACTTTATACAGTTATACTTTATCTTTGATGAGTTTGACTAATCGCGGATAATAAAATTAAGAAATAAAAACACGAAAAAAATCATGAAAATAAATACGATCAATGCTATTAAATAAATTTGAATATTTTGCTGTTATATGTTATATTTTATTAGATTTTAAATAGTTCTAATTTTCTAATTTAAAATTTAAATTAATAATCTGATTGGCTGGGTGTCGTGATTAGATATACATACTCGTAATTATATCATAAAATTAATAAATTATAGGTAAATAGATGAATATACAGAACATAATATAAATCAAAACATTTGTGTGTGAGTATAGTAAAAATATAAAATTTTTTATATTTTTTAATTGATTTTTTTTTTATTGAATTTAATTTCAACAAGATTTCCATTCAAATGTTAGAAAAGTAAAATTTGGTTACTCAAAATAATATATTCACAAAAATTAGATAATTTCTACGTCTTATAACTTATAAGATGTATAAATATAAGGCATATGCGATAAATAACAATAAAATATGTTTAATAATACAGTTTAGTATAGGTACTAAAAAAAGATAATTATATAGCTCGACGCTTGAGAATTGAAATGTTAAACATTGAAGTATACAGATGGGTGGGTAGACATTAATATAATAATTTGATTCTACTCCACTTAAATTTATAAGACTTGGTGCCATATTTTGACATGTTTTAGACTTACACGACCTCGCGAATTAGATTGTTAGTAAAAAAAAAAAAATTGATAACGGTTTGATTTTGTATAATTTATAATTTATTATTTATATATAATTTAAAAATAGATGAGTTTTTAATCGAAAGTTACATAAACATCAGATTTTATACAAGTACAACTAAGATTAGGTATACAACTAATTCGAAAAACAGTATATTGTGAAGAAGTCGGAAAGAAGCAAAAAATGTCAAGCATTAATTTATTATTGTTAATTTACTATTTTAAATTCTAAACACAAAGAAAAATAAAAGGTGAATAATTCTTGGGTTAAATTAATTTTACATGAAATATAAAACATTTTTTATAAAAAACTTACAAATACATTTTGTAAAAAAAACTTAAATATTACAAAATCATTTCGTATTTTTTATTAATTATATTTGTCAATATAATAATTATATTAGTAATATAAATGGTTAAATTAATAATGATACACGATACATAACAAATAATAATTAATAATAAAATATAAAAAATGTTACATAAAAAAAAGTTTTAAAAAATGATCACAGAACAAAATCGTTTCGTCTTTTAGATTGGCAAATTCATCAATTACTTCTTCAGAGTTAATACTAACATTGCTATAACAATTAAGTAATGCAAGTCCATTTAAGCGCTCTTCAAATATTGTTGATCGCATCCAAGTTTTTCGTTCCACTGTTGCTAAAGTGGCTATAATATTAGAAAATAGGAGTATGAGAAAAAAATAATAAATAATTGAAAAGGTTTCGGAATCACATTTTCCAAAAGCTTTTATAAAGGTGTTTTTAGAATTTCTTCTTCATTTTTCCAATATATATGCCATAATTGAAGCTCTCCTTTGAAATATTTTTTTAATAGGTCTTCTGATAAGTTCAAATTTATTGATTTATTGACATCTATTAATTCACAAAATTGTGCCATCATATTGTTAATTTTATTTTGAATTTCTTTTAAATTAAAAATTCTGAATATTTTTTTTAAATAATCGAGAAGACGGGAATTTTTACATAAAACCAGCTTTAGACAAAATCAGAAATCTGTTTTGTTTTTTTTGATGAGCTTTAAAACGAATAAAAGTATTTTCATCGCAATTTATTTTCTAAAGTTATATTTTCTTAATTATTTAGGGTGTATTTTTGTATACATTAATGTATAAAATACTATGTTATTCTTTATATCATTGTCGCGCCCAAGAGGTGAGTAGACTTTGGGACTACCCAACCCCCCAATTTTTATTCATATCAACTAATACATAATTGTAGAGTATTGATTTTTCAGATATATTTTACAAGTCGTAGCCCATTTGGTTCCCGTTTATCTAAACGGCTCCCGCGCGTTTTACAAAATATTTAATTTTCAAACGGCTCCGATCAAATAAATTCCTAAACGGCTCCGGTTTTTTACAACACAAATTTCTTCCCACTTTATACAGACTTAGGACTGTCTCAAAAAAGGCGTGTTTAAAAATGTCTTGGTGTAAACTAAGTAAATTATTAAAATTATATAAAAAAAAAGCTTTTAGTATAATATGAAGTTTAAAATTTTTAACGTTAAAAATATAAATAATATAAAAAATGTTTGTATAAATAAAAATACTAAAAAAAAAAAATCATATATGGGGTAAATTTATTAGCTACAATTTTTTATATAGTCTATGCGTGCTATTTTATTTGATGAAAACTCGTAAATAATTTTTTCGACGAGCTCTTGTTTTTTTTCTCGATCAAACAGGCGTGCATATGACTAATAATTATTGTAGAGTTTACAATCATACAATTATACCTTACAATTTTTTTCGACAGTAGCCGTTTAGAAATAAGTAAACAATAGACGAGAGTCGTTTGGAATCCGACGATTTTACAATGATTCTTTTTTAAATTTGTTATTATAATTTACATTTGATACAGATTAATAGTTAGTAATTTATAATTGATAATTGCCGATCAATTATTTTGTTAAAAATTATTTTTAGATTTATAAGGGTACTATAATAAGTAGATCAGATGATCTTCGGTCGTCGCCTTTGATTATTTAATCGTCGATATAACAACAGTAATAATGATGATTACTACTAGTTTTAAAAATCTTTTCGAATTTTATGAAAAAATTGGGCAACTCCCGAGTGCGTCCCAAAATGTTCTTTTTTTAATGTTCCGAATGCGTTCGGAATAAGGTCTCACCCGAGTGCGTCCCAGTTCATTTAGAGTTACCCAGGGTGCACCACGAGGAGATGAACTGGCTTACACCCCAAAAATATTTAGTTATTTAATTATATTTATTATAAAAGTTTATTATTATTATGTTTATTTAATTATTTAGATTTACATCCATTTTTAAACTGTTGGGTTAATATTTAAATTATTTTTTTGGTTGACTTTTCAGTGCCATGATTTTCACATAATCATATCTAGAAATTTATAAAATGTTAATTAAATATATTTAAACAAAACTGTTAGCTGCATATACATCACTACACATACTGCACATGGTTGTCAAAGACTAGTTATGAATAATAGATTTCTACGTATGGACTATAGTGTAAATGCAAGCAGTGTAATATTATAAGATATCAATGCATTTTATCCATAAAGACAAAATATTGCTAGCAATAATATGCGGACGCACATGGGATATACCAAAATACTTGCGATATTATCACGGACGCAATAGGGCTATTAAAAAGGTACGATATGATTAACGGGACGCACTCGGGCGACACCCGAAAAAAATATGCCACAAAATATTTTTTATGTCCCAAAAGTCGAATTTTAATTCAATAACAATAATAAAAAAACTATTATATATGTACTTAATGATATAAGTAGGTAATAGGTTGATAGATCGTCTTTACTCAAAATAGTTTTTCATGTATAATAATTTATTCAAATTTAACACACCCATTACAGTTGTCCACTGTTGTAACTTAGTGTACAGCAGAGAGTACCCACTTTCCCACTTTTTTTTTCTATAAATGTCGATAAAAAAAATTTGTTTAGTTAACAACCTTTAAAGTTTAATACAAGGATTTCTAGTTATTTATACTGGATTAAAAACCACTTTTAAAAAAATAATTAGATGCTAAACTTTATCATTTTTAGCAATAATACTTTAAACTACGTAAAGTATAAGATAATTCAGATAGTCAGTACCTACACAATATTACAGTTAAAAAAAAAAGCATATTATATGAATAAACATGAGAAGGGAGACCAGCTGCTAGTGTGGGAACGCTCAGACTTTGAAGAGATAACCTAATTACAATATTATTATTCTGTATAGAAATTATTTTAAAAAAAAA